TGAAACATGATAAACATAAACCAGTGTTTCCTGATACCATTTAATGGTTACTGGTATTTAGGCAGGGCTGCCACTAAGCCATTCAGTACATTTTCATGAATTAGAAAACTGCACCCCCATTGAATGGATAAAGCCCTGTGGCTACGTGGTTCTGTGAGTTGAGCAGCAAAGGTTGGCTATCAGCCTACTCACTCCTTTGGCCAGACACCCTTATGCGTTTATAATCTGCACAACGGTATATGGTGGCCTGTGGTAGGTACAAAAGATCAGAGTACACCAAGGCAACAACTGCCCACTACTCGTGAACAGTGCTGTTGCTAGAGAAGAGTGGTCAAGGGACAATTCAATTCAATAAATGTTTATATACCGATGTTTGAAACGTCACGGGTAGAAAGACACTAGGGAAGTATTGTCAAGATGCCTAACAATATGAAAAATGTGAATTAAGAGGTGTCATGAGGGCAGGCCCCATGGCTCACTCAGGAGAGTGCGGCGCTGGTAGCGCCGAGACCGCGGGTTTGGATCCTATCTAGGGATGGCCGGTGCGCTCACCGGCTGAGCGTGGTGCAAACCACACCATGCCAAGGGTTGCAAGCCCCTTACCAATCAGGAAAAAAAAAAAAAGTGTCATGACAGTAGCTATGAAAATAACTCATGCATCAAATTTAAGGATAAGATAAGAACAAAAAGAGGTTAACCTTAGTGCTCAAGAAGTAAGAGCAAGTAAGGTAAAAGGGCAGGCAAACATTGTAGGACTGAATCTACAAGGACAATACGTTCTGGGTAATCATTCTTGCACTGAAATCTTGCTGTATGTGTCTTATACTTGACACAGTAGTTTTATTTTCTCTTAAGGAAATATCTGACAATGTACAATACAAAGGGATTTGCAGGTGAGATGTTTCCAAACATAAGGTCTTCCCCTCAAAAGCAACTGAAAACATGTATATAATTATTCAAACCATGCTTGTGTGAATGAACCAAGAATCAGTAAAATTGCAGGATATAAAATCAACGTATAAAAATCAGTAACGTTTCTATATACTAACAATGAACTATTTGAAAAGGAAATTAAGAAAACAATCTCATTTACAATAGCACCAAAAAAGTAAAATACTTAGGAGTACATTTAACCAAGGATGTTAAAGATCTGCACACTAGTCCCCCCCTTATTCAAGGGGGATATTTTCCAAGACCTCCAGTAGATGCCTGAAACCATGGATGGTACTGAAACCTATGTATGCAAGTATATATACTATGTTTTTTCCTATATATAAATACATATGATAAAGTTTAATTTACAAATTAGATACAGTAAGAGGTTAACAATAATAACTAATAGTAATATAGATCAATTATAGAAATATACCATAATGAAAGTTATGTGAATGTGGGCACTCTCTCTCAAAATATCTCATTGTACTGTATTCACCAATTTTCAAACTGCAGTTGGCCACACAGGTAACTGAAACCACAAAAAGTGCAACTGCAAATAAAGGGGAACTACTGTATACTAAAAACCAAAAACCATTGATGAAATAAATGGAAAGATATCCTGTGTTCATGGATTGGAACAATTAATATTAATATGTCCATGTCGCCCAAACCAATCAACAGATTCAATGCAGGTATCTCCCTTGCCCTTTGCCAGTGTTTTATTCTCACCCCTGTCACCTTCGTTCAAGTCCCCGCTACTTTTCACTTGAGCCGTTTTCTTCTCCTAGTTCAATTCTCTATTTCAGTTTCTGTCCTTCAAAAACTCTGAGAATACCTTTCTAAACTTTGGCTCTGATTATATAACTTCCTGGTTCAACACTCTTCAATGGCCACCTATTTGCAAAGGTCCCCTGCATAAAATCTTAACTTATTTGCATGATATAAATAGCATGGCAGAGTGCACTATGCATGGGCAATGGAATCAAATAGAACTAAGTTTTGAAAACTGCATCCACCAGTTACCAGCAATGTGAACTCTCTCTCCAAGACCCAGATTTTCAGTGGGAGAGACAGAGAGAATAACTAAGAAGATTTTAAAGGAATTGTGTCTAGCCCAGTGTTGGGTACATGATAGGGGCTCAATATCTTTCTTCCCTTTTTTCTGCCCACACCAGCATTCCAGCCTTACCCAGCCTGGAACAATGTGCTCCATGATGCCATCCTCCGTGCTCCCACCTTTGATCATAGTTCACTTATCCTATTCTGCTTGTATTTTATTTGTTATAAGCATATTAAGATATAATTATTCTTGAGTAATTAGGCTTTTCTCCCCTTCTAGATTGAAAATGCCTTGAGGACAAAGGTTTGATCTTCTTCATCTTTGTTTGTCCCATAGCATATTCCACTATGTACTGCACATAATAGGAACTCTATAAATGTCTATTAAGTTAGATTGAATTGTATAATTATACATGATTTATCCAAGTTTTAAAATGAAAAATTCCTTTTGGTGTAAGAATTAAAAGAGTCAGAAGCAGAACAGAGATATGCCATATAGTAAATACAGCATAACCCCCTAGCACCCAACGCAGGCCTTGAATTTCCCAAAATTTTGTTAATTTGCGTCAGACTGGACACCTACTGTGGTGAACAAATTTTTTTAGAGAATGCAGTCTTCAAAAATAAGTGCTTTTAGTCAAAGAAGTCTTGGGCAAAAAAGAGGATACCACCTATTCAAATCCATCATTACTACTGGGAAAAAACACCGAAAGATCAGTTCTAATGGTATTGAACAGTGAAATTATTATTTAGAAGTTTCAGTCTAAATAGGTTTGTATTGTCTATTTCCACAGAAACTAAAACCTGAGAAAATGAGCTAAAATTGCATACAGAAATGTATAATGAATTTTACGATGCTTTAACTAAGATGAACAAAAATTATGTTTCCCATTTTATTTTTGGTAAATAATATTAGGAGCTAATCTTTGAACAGATTAAGAATACACCCTGCTTATTTTTTAACCCTTTATCTTGAGAATTAAATAACCCAAAGTCAAATTTTTACAATAAAGAGTATAAAAGTTATTACTAATATAACTTTTAACAGTTGTTGCTGCTGATTCTTTAAAAATACACGACAAAATGGTTAAGATCAAGAACTATGGTTAGGAAGATCGAGAGTCAAATCTATATAGCTTTAGGCCTTGACCAAATTACTTATCCCCCATGCCTGTGCTTCATCACCTGTAATATGACGATAACAGAAGTGTCTATTTGAAAAGCTGCTGTGAGAATAAAATGATGAAATGACAGTGATCATAAAGCATTGTGCCTGAAACAAACTGAGTACCTGACAAATGGTGGCTATAATAACGATAATTAATATTATTACGTAAGTTTACTTACCTGTAATTACTTACAACTTGGTTGTACATATCAGCTACCTTTTAGGAATAGTCTTTACAAAGCAGTCTTCTTTCAAAGGAGATGCAGAGGCTATTGGAGGCTAGAGCCGCTTCAGCCGAGTGGCACGATCCTCGCCCCCTCCCGCGCGCGCGTGGCTCGGTCGCGGACCAGCTCCCTAGGCTGCTCTGTCGCCCAGCTGTGCTCAGCGGGGTCGCGGCCCGCGGGAGCGGCTCAGGGCGCCGGCATCGGGCGAGCGCCGGAGCCCTGCACGGGCTGCGCGGCGGGTCCTGACCAAGCTGCCCGCGCCGCCCCGCCCGCCCGGGAAGATGAGTGACGGCGACAACAGGTGCAACGCGGCTTCTGCGGATTCTCGGGAGCCCCTAAGTTTGACGCGTCAGGCCCCGGGAGCCAGACTTTAACTCTAGAAACTGCCCTCCTCGCTTTCCACTAGCCTTCGGAAGCCGCCCTTCCACCGGCTTCTTGCACCTTTGTAAAGCCTCGAGGTCACCTTAACCTCTCGAAAGCCACCGTCCCAGAGGCCGACTTTTCGTCTCCAAAGTAGAAGAGAGGGAAAGGCGCGCGGTGCATGGAGCTTTGCGTTACCGTTCGCTCTCTCCTCCCCAGCCGTCCGAAAGCAGGCGAGAGTGGCCCCAGAACCGAACCCCCGATCTGCACACTCCACGCCCGCCCCGACTTGCTGAGCGCTCTGCCCCTGAGACGTCCTGGCTGGGCGACCACGGGCCGCAGCCGAAACCCGCCCGCCCGCGCCCCTCCCGGGCTTGCGGTGCCCGCCCGCACTGCGACCCACCGCCCGAGGCGACGCCGCCCGCGCCCCTCTACCGCCCCAGGTGGCAGGTTCAGGCCCCGGGTCCGAGCCTGCGCCTCTACAGTTGCTACGCCGCCGTCGCCGCCAGGGGGAGAGAGGCCCAGTCGGGAAACTCGGTGTTGCTTCCGTGGTGTGAAGGTGCTTTCAAACTTCAGGGTTTTTTTCCTTTTCTCCCATTTTTGAAGAGCGGAGAGGAAGATGGAGACCGAGTACGGGGCGGTGAGTACGGCGATCAGGGCCCCAGGCCCCGGGCAAGCGGGGAGAAGCGGCCACGTGGACCCCGTCTCTGAGGCGCTGGAAGGGCGAGGTTTAGAGCCCAAACGCTCGCTATTTTGTTGGGAAGAAACGGGACTAGAGTGCCCCCTCGACCACTGGGAAGAGCCGTCACCACCAGGCCCCGTCGGGTTGTGTCGTGGGGTCGGGAAGGTGCGGCCTCCGGGCCTGGACTGGGTGTAGTCAGGCTGTGGGGTCTCGGAAACGGCCGGGAGGTTTCGAGAGGCGGCGGGTGGCTGGGCCCTGAGCACACCCCAGGATCCCGGCAGATTAACAGCTTTCCCGCCGAAACAGGGCTCGGCCGCGTCTTTGACGCTCGCTCCGGCCTCAGTCAGCCCAGCCGCCCACGGCGAGGAGGAGTTGCAGGGCGGTCGACGCCTCCACTCCCCAACTGGTCAGTGGAGACCGGAAGGCCTGTGAGGCCTGGGCCCAGGTCGGACCCAGACACTCTAGTACGGGTGCGCGCCCGAGCTGGTCGGGGCCTGGCTGGAGAGGGGGTCGGGCAGCGGGGCAGGCCCGAGGGGCCGAGACAACGTGCCGCCGCGCCCCGTCGACAGCCAATGAGGGCGCCGCGCGAGGCCCAAGGGCTGGCGGCGCATGAGGCCGACCGCCGGGTCGGTGCCGTTGAGGATTCCCGCCACTGCTGCTGGTGGCTTTGAGGGGCAAAATTTCTCGCTGGGTAGCCTTCTTTTCCCTCCCGCACTTTGGTGGGGAGGGGGTGGATCCTCCTGTCAGTGCTCGAGTTCAGGATGACCCAAGAGAAGCCGAGGAAGTTGTTGCCGAGGAAGTCGTTGCCGTGGCCATTTCCCCCAGGGCCTCAACTTGCTGGCCTTTCTGGAGAAGGAGCCACAAGGCCGTGACTGCGACGGTTAGCCCGCCCTCTTCCTGTTGTCTTCGTTTGCAAAGCAGATGATAGGTTTCGAGGTTAATTCTCATGAGGAGGAGGCAGTGAGGGTACATTACTTTGGAGGAGAGTTTTAATAAAATCTTTGGTGCTGCAGCCCAATAGAAGCCTCTATCCTAGGTGCTGTTACGCACTTGCAAAATGACTGCCTGTGGAGTTTGAACTCAGTGCATCGCTAACCTTCGCTATGGAATTTAGATGTTGCCTGTACCAGAGACTTGTCCCTGATAACATTAAAATATTTTCTAGGCTATTATTCATACCGCATTCATCACCCCTCCGCCTAATGTTTGTCAGATCATGTGCAGGTCTCTCCTGAAGAAGTGATTCATGCATTTGTTCATTCGTTCAATATGTATTCATTGAGCACTTCCTATGTACTGTCACTACTTTAGATGTGGCCGTGAAAGAAAAAGAGGAGTAATTCTGGCCCTCATGAACATTGCATTATAGCTTTTAACACCAAGATCAAAGCTTGGGATCCCAGTACCAGCCAGCTGCCAAAAAATACATATATATATATATTTTTTTTGAATATGTGAACGTTACATTATAGTAAAGAGATAATAAGCATAAGTAAATTATATAGTATGTTAGAAAATGATAGGTGGTAAGGAGAAAAATAAACCAGTTGGACTCCACAATAGACCAGGAGCCTTAGAGACCAGAAAATGAAGTGAATTGAGTGTAAGAAGTTGACGTTTTTCTTTTCTCAGTGATTATCCTTTAGTTATCCTTTAGTTTCTCAAGATTGGGAATAAAGTTCACTTTCGTTCATTTCATCCCTCTCTCAATGAAAAATAATGGAATTTGTCTTTTACTTAAACTTAAGAATAAATGAGTTTATCCATTGAACTCTTATTTTGATTTCAAGAAGAGAGTTTAGTGACAACCGATTTTTTAAAATTTAGCAAATGGGTCATTTTTACATTCTGTAAACAAACAGGCAGAGAGACAAGGTTATCATATCTACTAGAGTTGTTATCTCTAGAAATACAAATACACAGTTGGAAAATAAAACTAAGCACTGCAACATCATCCATTCTGAGCACTATGTCCTGAATAAAGTGACTGAAATTACAAATAACCCCCAGATGCCAGGAGAGAAAGCTAAGATTGCATTCCCAATTTCTGTAATTGGAAGCTGCAACATAGTAATTATTAAATGTGATGACTTTTCTTTGGTTTAAAAGAAGTATTTTTTCACTCCCTTGTTAGGGAGTATATGCTTTCTTCCCAACTTAAGACTGGATGGGAAAGAGAGCCTGTAAGGTCCAGCCTGTAGACCGATAGTAACCACTGGCCTAGTATCTCTCAGTATGTCTTGCAGAGATTATTTTAGGGATTATGGTTTTATTGGCCAATGAAGTGAAAAAGGAGAACAGATGTGAAAACGAACAACTCTATTACCTAAACTGGAAATTCATTTTCATATATTTGTTTCTCAGAGAATTGGGGTTATGAACTTCAAGCGTTTTGAAGCACTCATTTAGTATGTTAGACTGTCTCAGATTTGAGAAGCAAATAGAAGCAAAATAATTAGCAAGTTCTTGAATTGGTTTTTCTTCAAAACTCTATTCTCAAGTATTGTTTTTTTCAGCTGTACCTTAAGTCTTAAGCCATTGTGCAAAGGCTTACACGTTAATATATACCGTATTTATAAAAAATGAAATTAGGTCCTCTGATTTAGAATTGTGAAAATAAGGACATGTACTCAATTCTTTAGTATAAAAATCTCTACCTATCAGTTACAGGTTATATAATTTTTTTACAAAATAAGTCCAATCTTCAAATTAACATGTGCATTTAAAAATTTGACTTTCAGGCTGAAAATTTGTACTTAAATGCAGAGTTTATTAACATGTAAATGCCCGTTAGCCAAAAACCACCAGGAACACACCTTTAGTTTAATTAAGTTGGGTCAAAGTTGTTAATCTGTTGTTAGGACAAGGAAGAATCTATACCATGGGGCCTTTCAGCCAGAGGGTGTTAGAAAGAAATTATAGGATTCAGGCTTGTGTTAAGTGATTTTTAGAGTTTAGGGAAGAGCTTTACTCTAGAATGCATGTTATCAGGAAGTGGGGCATAATTCTTTGACTGAGTATGTTAACTCTTACCTAAAAGACAGGAAAAATGGATCAAGGCTGAAGCTGTGATTGATAAAGAAGGAGCAGTCACTTAGGATATAGGGATGTTTGGTTATTCTTATGGATTGGCCAATGCTTTTATTCTTGTCAGTGTTCAGACATGATTACGGAATGGTCTTGTTTTTATTTTGACCCAACACAGCCACAGTGACCTTGTCTGATGTTGCTGTTCTATTAACAAGAGAACACCACAGCCCAGCTGTAAGTGTCAGACCAACTCCTAACAACACCAGCCTACATGGTTGTGCCAGGCCAGCTCCCAGCTTTCTGGAGCTGCTTTTTCTCTTTTTCAAACTACTTTATGAATTTAATATTCTTCTTTATAATTAAATAATATATTTAATAACAATTAATACAAGTATTTTTGAATAATATATTTAACATTTAAGGTCTGTAGTGGAGTAGATTCTGTTTCCTACATTTTTGCCCCAAGAAGCTTTTAGCTTTCATTATAATCTTCATAATATTAGAATAAAAGTAAAATCGAAAACGGTACATTTTGCATGAATGACTCTTTTTGAAAGATGTTTCAGCCTGTATCAAAACTTATACTCAGTGCTAAAAGTTTAAAAGAATTTTATTTTACAGCAAACATCAAATCAGACGCAAACAGATTCATTGTCTCCATCCCCTAATCCTGTGTCACCTGGGCCTATGAATAACCCAACCAGTGCCCCAAGATATGGAACAGTGATCCCTAATCGCATCTTTGTAGGAGGAATTGACTTTAAGGTACCTATTTATGCATGTAACATGTATGTTTTTTGCATTAGAAGTTATTTTTTTCTCAGAAATTGTTTCTTTGTGCATCTATGAAAATAATAACATTTGCATAATAATTAATAGGTTTCAAAATGATTGTGAAATGATGTACAGGTCTCCCCATATGGGAGGTAGTAAACAACTAAAGATAGGCATGCATAGGTATTTTAAGTGGAATACCATTACTTGTAAATGGACATATAGAAGGTTTTCCAAGTTTCCATATTATGTATTAGAAATTATAGGAGAGTTCTTTTTTTAACAACAAAAATCCTTGTGCCATTAGGTATGATATTTGACATTTATAACTCATTATTTCCGTGTAATCAATCTGTCACAATTTGGGTGGGTCACTTTTTAACTGCCCAACAGAAATGTTATACTTAGTGTATTTGCCAAAATAATGAGCTTTAAGCAAGTATGTAATTGTTTCACTAAAAATAAAGAAAAATTATTTCTTATAAAATTTTTATTTTTAAAAAGTTTATTTGTCTATGGAAAATATTAATGGCTAACCAGATATATTCAATTTGAGTATTCTTGTTCATAATTCATTTATATTACAATAGCTTAGTATATTTTTTGAAAATAAGTCATCAATAAATATAACCATTTGCATGGCCAGATTATTCTAGGTTACTGAAGCCCATCAGCTACAGTGTGAACTTTGGAGGCCATTGTTACAATACAGCCATAGCGTTAGGGTAACTGCTAAGGTTCCCTAAAGGAGACCTCATACTTAATACTTTTTTCAAAACCATTGCTAAATTCCACAAGGAAATAGTTTACTGTAGTAACAAGCAATCTCAGACTTTTTCAATCTCTTATTTTTAGAAGCCTACAGACTATCCCTCTTAATGTTTAATCATCTTGACTTTCTGTCACCTTACTTTTCAATGAAGAAGTGGAGCTGCAAGTTTGAGCTAATGATTCTTCTTCTGGAGAATAATTTGAATTCATTTGTTTTCAAATCTCTAATAACAATTCTTATTGTAGCATTGATTCCATTTTGTGTTTATTGAAATAAAAGGCATTCGATTATTAGATTAACTTTAGTATTTGTCAGCCAGTTTAGCAGATTTTGTTACCAACTAAAAATGAATAGAGTATATAAGTAGTGAGGTAGCAATTGAAATCAAAAGGCTCCACTAGAAGGCACGTCTTTTTCCCACATAGAAAAAGACATTTTTTTTTCCCTAGGCACATTTAAAGTTACTCTTAAAGGCAGTTACAGCTGAACCAGAAAATGAAGTTGCAATGAATTTAGTGTGAATACTCTGGGAAAAGGTGATATAAGTCTATTATCAGACTATTTCAGTTTAACCCAGATATACCAAAACCATCCTTAGAGCTGTCTTGTACAAGCCTAATTATGGTTCAAATTTTTATTTTTAATATCATCATAATGTCTATTTAACTGAAATATATATTGAGTACAAAATGTCTAATAACTTTAATCTTGTAGTCACTCCATTGTTATTCCAGGTTGAATTCAAGTACTTTTTGAAATATATCCTTTCCTAAGATCCAACTGTTCCTGGAGACTATGCTAACTAAAATAGAGTGACTGGTGTAGGCCAACATAACCTAGTTCCACTGCCATGACTGTCGGCCTCTCTAAGCCACAAGAGCCAATTACTGCACCCTTACTATGATTATAGCATGCCTAATCCAAATTCTTTTTTTAAAAACTGGCCAGCTAGGTCATGGGTTCAGAACCCCATACCAGCCAGCTGCCAGGAAAAAAAAAGATTGATGTATAATAGTTTAACAACATATCTACTGCATAAAGCAAAGTATATTTATTTTAATAATCTAATGATTTCATGCATTGTTTTGGTGATGAGCGGCAGACTTCATTCATATTATTGTTTATAACTTTTTCTGTTTCCAAACAAGCATAAGAATTGTTTCGTCTTTCAGCAATTAAAAAATGTTTTTTAATGTTTTCTTTTTATGCTATTAGACAAATGAAAATGATTTAAGAAAATTTTTTTCCCAGTATGGGTCTGTAAAAGAAGTGAAGATTGTCAGTGACAGAGCCGGAGTGTCCAAAGGGTTAGTATCACTATAGACAGTATATAGAATTAACAACTGTATTTTTATTGGATTACTAGATTTTTATGTGCTAATTTAATTTGATTCCATTTTTTCAACAAAGAATTTCTTGCCTTCTTCTTTCTTCCTACCTTTTGATCTTCTATTTCTTTCAAGTGTATGTTTGTGTATATTTGAAAGAAGGAGGACACTATAATATTCCTTAATTTGTTGAAATGTTATTCTTGCATAGGCTGAGGAACCATTCAGTGTTAGGCAGCAAAACTTAATGTAGCAAGTGTACAGTAACTAAGGAAACAGAAGCTAAAAGAATTGGATTTTTTTGGACTTGTATTCCTGCTTTAGACTATAGAAAGTTTTATTTGAAAACAGCTGACCCCAAGGAATGTCTGTAGGTTTTGTCTCAGAGACCTAATTAGGGGACTAATATGAGAAATACAACTCTAAGAATGATTTCTAATTGCCATGTTAAGGAGAATTAAATTGAGAAGAAAGCAGTAGACTGTGTCTAGAAATATGTAGAGCTATTTCAGTGAATTATTATGTGTACAAAAGCCAAATTTCAGAAAAGAAAAAGGTAATTTGAATAGTGTACTCATTTAAGGAGTTTTACAGCAAACTTAAAAGAAAATATATAAGGCAGTGGAGATCAACGAAGGATGTGTTTGTTTTCTTGAAAGAGAGGCAAGACATAATATTATTTATATGCATAAAGAAGGAACCAATGTGGTGGATAGAAAATAGTATTAGTGAGAAACAACATGTAAGTATAATAGTGGGTACTCTGGAAGAGACAGGATTCTACATAGAGGTTATTTTCAAACATAGGAGATACTTCCTCAGACTGCCAAACAATGTTAAGATAAAGTGAGATTATACCTCTTTTGTGTGGCTAACAGAATTTGCAATATTTTGGTAATATCAACTTTTTATCATTGCTAGACACACATGGAAATGTGAACTGTACTTTATGCCTTCTCCACTGGGTGGTGTTTTGTTCTACCAAAAAATTTAGTATAACAATAATTCCTTAATTCTTATTTAATGTTTGGGCAAACAGATAGAGAAAAATTCCTTTGTTAAAAAAGAAGCTTTATGTATGATACAGTAAATATGAAGTGAAGAAGAAGTTGGTCAAGATATCTAGCCTTACTCAAAAGACTTTGCTTAAATTATCTAAATAGGTATTATGCTTTGGGAGATATACTTTTTTTTATCTCTTTTGGTATTTTTTTTTCCTCTACCTATTTTGACTTTTTGGACATAGTATACATCATGTTTTTGTATTTGTATCTTGAACATTATATGAGTTGTACTTGAAGGTAATGGCCATATATGAAAAGCAGATTTAAAATCTGGGTTGTACATATGTTTATTTGATATTGTTTGGGAAATATACTAATAATTACATCAGTTTACGAGGATACTTCAAAAAGTTCATGGAAAAATAGAATTAAAAGATAATACAAATCTCTCCATGAACTTTTTTGAAGTACCCTTGTATATGTACTACTAATAATAAAGTAATACATTTGTATAATCATTTATCAATATAGGAAATTTTACTGTGTTGAAATTTTTAATTTTCAAAGTTTTTTTTCTACTTTGATTCCTCTGTTTAAGCCAAACCTCTATTACTTTAAAAGGAGATTATTGCTCTGGACTGAAGTTCATTGCATTCCAGTTTTTAAGCTAGAAGGTGAATCTCATGCTTTTCTTTCTTACATATAGTTAGCTCAGGGCTGAAACTGTTTCAAGATCCCTGGTTTCTTTTTTTACTTTTAGTCTCTGATTCTAAGAGGAGATGACAGTGTTAAACTGTGAATGATTCTTCTAGGATTCCCATGCTGGTGCAGCATAGAAAGATACTTACTCCTACAGTGGCCAATTCTTAAAACACAAAAATTTTAAAAATTTTAACATAACTAATGAAATATTCTAAGAAAAAAATTAATTAGTAACATTAATGCATTTATTTAGATATGGTTTCGTCACTTTTGAAACACAAGAAGATGCACAAAAAATTTTACAAGAGGTAAGACCTTTTGGTGTATTTAACTTCATTTTTGGAACTTCTTTCTTTGAAACTAGTCTTTTAAGGTGTTTATTTTATAGTAGAGTTCCAGTACAGTGATCAATTGCAAAAAAAAATCTTAACTTATGTGCTTCTTAAGAGTGGCTTTGGTCTCCAAGAAAATTTATCTGCAGAAGAACAAATTTCAAATCCTTACATGAGTATGGCTGGGAAGTTGTAATATAATTTTTCCTTTATTTGCTTAAATTAAGAACTTGGGGATTTATCTTTTGTGAAATGTTAATAGCGTTTTGAATTCCTAAAAACCAGTACAAACACGGATTCCTAGAGTGAGATGATCTGAGTTTATTTCCCTCCTATGGAAAACTTTATATAAAGTAAGAGCATTCATAGAAAAAGCCTATAGCCTGCAGTTCAGTATAGTAACTTTAAATTATGGCAAATGTAACATTTAAATTTTTTTTGGAAAAAAAGAATTTTAATTGTATATTCTTAAAATCAAATAGTCGATTCTTGTTATTCATGTTAGTTATGGTCTATAAAGTCACCACCAACAGAGCAAATACTAAACTGCTGTTCCGAGGAGAAATACAGGGTGAGGTTCCCGATAACCTCTGGTAAAAATATTGTCATCAATCAATACATAACCTCCTTTTATGTGTATTTCTGTTTAAAGACACCATATTATTGATTCATTAACCTTCAACTCATAGCCAATAATTCATTCCTGAATTAAGTACATCTGACATATTTTCTCTGTAAGGTATATGACAGTCTTGTGCTTAGGAACACTAGCCAGTACTTCAGCACTATACGTGGAGGCCATTTTAAATAGCAGAATCACCAACAAAAATCATAAAACGCAAAAAACATGGCTCTAAATAGAATGCAAAAAGAACACTTGTGGGGCCGGCCCGGTGGCGCACTGCGCTAGTGCGCCTCTTGGGAAGTGCGGAGGCGCTCCCGCCGAGGGTTCGGATCCCACATACAGACCGGTTCCCGCTCACTGGCTGAGCGAGGCGCGGGGGCAACACCGAGGGTTGCGATCCCATTGCCGGTCCCGGTCCGGTACGGGGCCGACACTGAGGGTTGCAATCCGTTGCCGGACACGGAAAAAGACAAAAAAAAAAAAAAAAGAACACTTGTCTACAGTATATGAACTGAAACAAGAAAGAGCATCACCTTCTTTGACCTCAGCTGGGAACGTAGGTGTGTCAGACTATTCAAATTTTTCTCCACTCTGTGGATGTCCACTAATAACCTCGAAATCGCCATAAGTATTGATTTGGGTATCATAAATAAATTTTAGCAAATAAGCAAATTCACAAATACAGAATCCATGAATAATGAGAATTGACTGTATTACAAATGAGGAATTAGTCAGAGCATTGGGACCAAGATTCAGACCCAGATCTATTTTAATCCAAAGATTTTGCCCTTGCTGCTTTCAAAGAATGTTATAGTCTGAATTTTTAAAATTCTCCTTCTCATAGTTTTTCCTGATTGGTTTTATAAATAATAGTGCCAAAATAATAAAATATTTTTTCTTTATTTTAGGCTGAAAAATTTAATTATAAGGATAAGAAACTGAACATTGGTCCAGCGATAAGAAAACAACATGTAGGGATCCCTCGTATGTATTGAGAACTAATGTATTTTTCAATATTTTTGCATGGTTTTTTTTTGAAGTATTAGAATTTTATAGAACTTTATTAAAATATCATGTTTCTTTTATCTAATAAAGTTACTTTAGAAAAGTGGGCATTCAAACAAATATTTCTTACCACAAATTAATATATCTTAGGGTTTTTTGGGCTAGTGAAAAATTACCATAAATAATGATGATTAAGTATATTATTCCATATAGTTACATCTTTAAAGGAAAAATATTTTATGATGAAAATATTTAAAATCACAGAAGTAATTAGAAGTAATTTAGAATTACTAATTAGAAAATTTTTCTAATTATAATAGTAATTTAAAATTAGAGCAAATATACTAAAAGTGAAAATATAGAGCTAATATCAGAAACTGGCTTCATGGTATGTACTGTCACCTAACCACATGAGTTAAAATTATCAGGGGGAATAATCCCTAAAGCTTTAGGAATTAGCTAAGTTATGTGTGTGCCTTCCTCAAATTTCTGTAATGCTTTCTTTCAACTCTACTCTTTTTTTCTCACTCTTCTCATTTATTAGATTAGAATAGTTAACTTTTTATAGTTAACTTTTTACCTATAATACTTACTAAAATCTCTGAGTCTTTGACTAAAAGGAGAAACTTCACATAAAATTAGTAACTAACTTTTCTTATTTTTCCTTAGCCACATCCTAGTGTCTACTGGGATGTTTAAAACACCAGGTAGTTATACATCTGTTAACAAATTTCTAGATTGTGCTCATTTGGACTGTTCTGCTTTTTGATTTAGAAGTTGAAAAATATTAAGTTTAATTTTGACTTAGTATTTGTTAATTTAGGAGATAATCGATTTGTCTTCAGGAAGTTAATACAAAATGGAATGCACTAAATATGGCCGAATGCTGAATATTTTTCAGCTACTGTTGTTAAGTTGCAAAAGTTAAGCTGTGATGTATAGTAATGGTTCTTTAGCCCATTATCACCAGCAGGAGGTACTAAATACTAAGTCATATTATGACCCACCTGCGGCTAAAATAGAAAATAAATCTGCACTACACTGAATGCTTTCAAATACACAAACAGTTTTTTAGGAACTGTTCAGTGCAAGTCATTGTTATGGGTTTACACTTATTTCATTTAATCTTCACAACAACCCATGAGATATTGTTAGCTCTATTTTTGTAAATAGAAAATTTAGTCCTAGAAAGGTAAAGTCATTGTTTTAAAAAAGTTTCTGCTGGAGCTGGCCAGTTAGTTCAGTTGGTTAGAGTGTGGTGTTATAACACTAAGGTCAAGGATTTAAATCCCCATATCAGCCAGCCACCAAAAAAAAAAATAAAAGTTTCTGTTGAAATACTCTTAAAGGTAGAGGAGAGTTAATCTTGGCATACTGTGGGTCTTTACACAATGCGGCATATGAGAGTTGCAAATTTTCTTTAAAGTCTCATAGTTTATGTAAAAACTTCATGCACAATTTGCACTCTGTTCCATAGTTTTGTTTATTTGAATATAAAAATGTTTCCCAAAAAAACAAGTGTTTGAATAAAACTGATTCTGCAGGAAAATCACCATGTTCAGCCTATGTCTTTTCATATGTCCTAGCATACCATGCCATATCCAAATCTGAGAAGTATAGGATTATGTAACTTAACCAAATGGTGAGTGGTAGCATTAGCCTTCAAATCCAAGACTATATGACTCCAACCTCTTTTTGCTTTTCTGCAAAGAAAAATAGGTATTAAAAGTACATTTACAAAATACAAGTGATTCTTATCTTAATTTTTTCTCAAGTTTGTCACTTTCCGTCTCCATCACCAAAACCCTAGTCCCAGCTACCCACTTTGCTTGCCTTGGCTACTGGAAAACGCTCCTAACTGGTCTCTTTGAATCCAATCTTGTTACCTTCCAATCCATTCTTCACAACGCAGCCAGAGTGATCTTTTAGAAGTGTACATCTTATCATCTTATTCTCAGCTTATTTTGAGCTATTCTTCCCTTATCTTTTCATGCTTTAGACATCTAGCCTTCTCTCAGTTTCAGAGCATATCATACTTCTCAGGACTGTCCAATATACTGTTTTCTTTACCTAGAATGCTCTTTGCCATCCCATTCATTCTTTAAAGCTTACCTCAAACATCATTTCCTCACAAAAGCACCAGAGAGAGAGAGAGAAATGGATATTTTATATATACTTTTTAAAAATTTTTATTATTAGCATATTCATTCTTACAAATTGTGATATTTCTTTATGCCATTTTCCCAACCTATCACTTCCCAAATCCCCTCCCTCCCTCTCCCCCATCTCTAGCCTCCTTAGGAAAGTCTCTTTCTGAAAGTTCAACATATTGCTGCGGTCTTTTCTTTCTTTCCTTCATTCCTTCCTACTTTCCTACTTTCCTCCCCACTCTCTCCCTCCCTCCCTCCCTCCCTTACTAGCAGTCAGTTATGAGTGAGACCATGCAGTCTTTCTGTTTCTTTCTCTGGCTTATTTCACTTAACATAATTTTCTCCAGACTCATCCATGTTGTTGCAAATATTCATATGGAACAACAAAAGACCCTGAATAGCCAAAGCAATCCTAAGCAAAAAAAATAAAGCCAGAGGCATAACACTACCTGATTTCAAATTATATTACAAAGCTATTGTAACCAAAACAGTGTGGTACTGGCATAAAAACAGACGCTCAGATCAATGGAACAGATTAGAAAACCCAGGAATCAACCCACGTACTTACAGCCAACTGATCTTTGACAAAGGCAGCAAGAACATACATTGGGGAAAAGACTGCCTCTTCAATAAATGGTGCTGGGATAACTGGACTTCCACAGGCAGAAAAATGAAAGTGGACCTATACCTCTTACCATATTCTAAAATCAACTCAAAATCAATTAAAGACTTAAATATAAGACCTGAAATAGAAAAAATAAATAAATGGGATTATATCAAACTAAAAACCTTCTGCACAGCAAAGGAAACAATCAGCAAAGTGAAAAGATAAGCTACAAATGGGAGAAAATATTTTCAAACTGTGTATACTTTATAAATGTAAAATAATTGAAATCTTTAGTATAGTATCCTATACTAGCAAGTATAACACCCTATATTACCTCTGTGTATTTATTAAAATTATATTTAATTAATTATAAAATTAGCTAATGACAGTCTTCCCTACCGGAACCTAACTTCTATGGGGATAGAGACGATGCCGTGTTCAATTTTTTTTATTTTTTGCTGTATCACCAGGGCCTAGTTTAACGCCTTGTAATCGCAGGCACTTAAAATTTATTTATTTACTGAGATACATTCGTTAGCTTACCCCTTTCGATTCATGGATGCAGCTGAGGAAGCATCTTTAAAGTCTTCCCACTGCCATCATGTCTAAGTCAGAGTCTCCTAAAGAACCCGAACAGCTACAGAAACTTTTCATCGGAGGGTTGAGCTTTGAAACAACTGATGAGAGTCTCAGGAGCCATTTTGAGCAATGGGGAATGCTCACAGACTGTGTGGTAATGAGAGATCCAAACAACAAGCATTCCAGGGGCTTTGGGTTTGTCACATATGCCACTGTGGAGGAGGTGGATGCAGCCATGAATGCAAGGCCACACAAGGTGGATGCAAGAGTTGTGGAACCAAAGAGAGCTGTCTCAAGAGAGGATTCTCAAAGACCAGGTGCCCACTTAACTGTGAAAAAGATCTTTGTTAGTAGCATTAAAGAGGACACTGAAGAACATCACCTGATAGATTACTTTGAACAGTATGGGAAAATTGAAGTGGTTGAAATCATGACTGGCCAAGACAGCAGCAAGAAGAAAGGCTTTGCTTTTGTAACCTTTGATGATCATGACTCTGTGGATCAGATTGTCATTCAGAAATACCATACTGTGAATAGTCACAACTGTGAAGTAAGGAAAGCCCTGTCGAAGCAAGAGACGGCTAGTGCTTCATCCAGTCAAAGAAGTCAAAGTGGTTCTGGAAACTTTGGTGGTGGTCGTGGAGGTGGTTTTGGTAGGAATGAAAACTTTGGTCGTGGAGGAAACTTTAGTGGTCATGGTTGGTGGCAGCCATGGTGGTGGTGTATATGGTTGCAGTGGGGATGTCTATAATGGATTTGGTAATAATGGGAGCAATTTTGGAGGTGGTGGAAGCTACAATGATTTTGACAGTTACAAAAATCTGTCTTCAAATTTTGGACCCATGAAGGGAGGAAATTTTGGAAACAGAAGCTCTGTCCCTTATGGTGGTGGAGGCCAATACTTTGCCAGACCATGAAACCAAGATGGCTATGGTGGTTCCAGCAGCAGCAGTAGCTATGGCAGTGGCAGGATGTTTTAATTAACTTCCAGGAAACAAAGCTTATCAGTAGAGGAGAGCCAGAGAAGTGACAGCGAAGCTACAGGTTACAACTAATTTGTGAACTCAGCCAAGCACAGTGGTGGCAGGACCTAGCTGCTACAAAGAAGACATGTTTTAGACAATACTCATGTGTATGGGCAAAAAAACTCAAGGACTGTATTTGTGACTAATTGTATAACAGGTTATTTTAGTTTCTGTTCTGTGGAAAGTGTAAAGCATTCCAACAAAGGGTTTTAATGTAGAATTTTTTTTCTTTGCACCCATGCTGTTGATTGCTACGTGTAATAATCTGATCATGACACTGAACAAATGTCTTTAAGAAAAAAATTTATCTACTTAACAGATAGACCATGGTTCATTGATGATCTTTGGAGGTAATCCATGAACCTCCTGAACTGTGTACAATATTTTGACTGAATATGTTTCTGAGAAAAATGTCTACAGCTTCTGTCATATTCTCAAAAAGATATGATTAAGAACTACTAAAATAAACAGTAACAATACTAGATCAAATACAGTGAAAATATAAAGACTGAGAAGTAGTAGTGGTACTTAAAGTGGAAGGCCAGGGCCAAAGTATGGTTTGCATAGTTAGCATCATTTCATTTGGGAGCTGTCAAAATGCAAATTCTTAGGCCCTATCCCAGACTTACTGAATCAAAATCTTTGGAGATGGGTCCCTGGTATTTGTATTTTAATAAGCCATCTAGATGATCCTAATGTATGTTAAATTTTGAGAAGCACTGGTTTAGTGGAAGGAGCATTATCAGTTCCAGTAATTTATATAACCATGCTGGTCAAGTACTTAATCTAATTTGGCTTATGTAACTTTTAAAGTCTCCTCCATGACAAAAAATATATATATTTTTGTTTGTTTGTTTGTTTTATAACTTGGCCTGGAAAAAGAGGTGGGGACCCCAGACTAGCCACATGAAGACTTACAACAGCAACAGTTTTGTAGCAAAAGGAGAGTAGAGAATAAAAGAGAGTCATAGCATGAGTGAATGCTGGCTGATAGTAGACGCAAAGAATTTGCAGAGTGGAACCAAAATGTCTTCAGGAAAGTAGAATCTTCTCCAACTTCACGCCTTCATCATCTTTGAACTCTTTTTTTTTTTTTAACTTGTTTTATGTATTCAATTCCACATAAAATTTTGTTTTAATGAAGTGCTCCATTGTTCTAATGAAGTATATATGCCAACGATATTTGAAATTCCCCACTATTTTCTATTAAAGTTCTTCCTTTTCTCAATATTATAATTCTATGATATAGAAATGAACCTTCCCCTTTAAACACTCTGTTGTTTAATTATCATTTGCATAAGAAGATCCCCAAATGATAGTCCAAATTTGAGGAATAGTATCATTATTTAGACTCTAAGTTCCTTTTCTGGATAATAGGATATCCATTGTGGGTGGTTGTTGATAAAAATCTTGCTGCTTGCTATACTGAAATAGTGACTTCTTATCAGCCATCACTTGGCCTAAATGCTTACTATACAGAGTGTATAGTTCATAGAAAGCACTAAGTAGCCCCAACCTAAGTACTGAATCATGTTCACATTTAACCAGAAATTTAAAAATTAACTCTTTGTTGATGTTATTTTACTGTTATATTGATCATCACATAAATTAATTTGTAACCACTGATTATTATTTGGAAGTTTTTAGAATATACTACAGACAACAGTACCCAAAGATAATTTTTGAATGGTTAACTTTATTATTTTATGTCTAGCCAAATCACATGTATGTTGTAATGTTCATTGAAATTAAAGATTCCATGAGACAAGTTTAAGTTGAATATTCATATTAAATATTCTGTAATGACATTTTAATCTTAGAATGCTATGTTTTTCCTTGTTAAAAATATGATTAAGTAAAATTATTTCAGTGTCACACATTTTTCGTAACATATATAACATTGTAGCTTTCAGAACAGAAAGTTCCCTTTTTTTTTTTGCCCCCGTACCGGACCGGGGACCGGCAACGGGATTGCAACCCTCAGCGTTGCCCCCACGCCTCGCTCAGCCAGTGAGCGGGAACCGGTCTGTATGTGGGATCCGAACCCTCGGGCGGGAGCGCCGCCACGCTTCCCAAGCGGCGCACTTATCCAGTGCGCCACCGGGCCGGCCCGAAAGTTCCCTTTTTTAATCCTACTCTGCTACTACTATTATTCTAGTATATAAACTTAAGAATATATGGCGTTTGTTGTGCAGTGTAAGCATTACAGTTTTTATTTCTCTTCCATTAGTATTAAATACTAAAGTTATAGTATTCAAGTTTAGAGATGGTTTGTTGGTTAGAAAAATCCATACGGTTAATGCGAGAACTAGGACTCCCATCCTTGATCAGACAGGACTTTGTGGGATTGACTTTCTCTTCAGGGCCTTGACTTTGCCTGTCACAGTGCCTTTCCGGGTGTTCTTCACCCAGCCAACCACTCCTGTTTTCTTAGTTTCACCTGTGTTCATCCTGAAGCAAACATCCCTTCATCCTGACATCTGAGTGCATGTGTCAATTTTGAATGCAGGAAGTGATCTGGTAACTCCATCTTTGAACTTTTACAAGTAAAAGATGTAGCTAAGATCTTAGGAACTTTACTACAGTGTCTATAGTCTTCAACTAACTCTAAATTATATATAATTCTAATAATAATAATAATAATCTTAAGACTTTATAAACGCAAAGACCCCCTAATGAGAATCCTTTTCTACTTCAGTTTTCAGTGTTGTCATCTTACTTAATGCTACTTCTAGGTTTTTATATTTCCTTTTCAAGTTTCTAACATTTAGAACTTTATTGTGGACTTTGACAAAAATACATTTTTATACCATTCTCACACTTAATAGTCAGCATCTTTCTTACATGAGTTGCAGTAACACAACAGCAAAAAGAAAGGTTAAATTTCACGTTAAACTTTCTTTGCTAGTAGTTTTTTAGAAAATCAATCCATCTCTTATTATAGCATTAAATTCCTTTATAGAGAGAGACAAAGAAAGCCACAAAATATTAAGTTAATATTTAGGAAGTTATAGATCAGAAATTGTCTTTCCAGAGATTCTCATAATGTTAATTTTTGAGCATCCTCAGTGACTAAACACATTCCAGATTTTTATTTTTATAATGTTTTCTAAATTCTACAGACAAATAATGCCAGGCCTGTGGTCATTTTTCCATGTGCACACCATATCACCCCAGCCAGGACTGGGTTTCCTTCATGTTATTGCTTATATGGAGACAGTGACAGTTCACAAAGTCTGTTCAGATCAAAGCAACTTTATGGTCTAAATAAGATTCATACATGGATTCTAAAAGACCTGCATTGAGCATTGGTGGCATTGTATGAAATGACTATGGCCTCAAAAGGTAGTTCAATGAAATAAAAGAAAGTTATATCTTGTTAAATATATTTTTTTAAATAAAAATAAGTTATATATAATTTATGTTTGTAAAAATAATGACTTAGGTGATAATAATCTAAATTGTTAAGCTGTGTTTCATTATGCTGGTATTACAATCTGAATTGGTGAATTTTTAGTATTTCTTTTTATTCTTTTTTTCTTTTAATCACCTTAAGCTAATTGAAGATCTAAGGTAGTGACTTTGAAAATACATGCTTCAAAGATACTTTAATATACGGAATTTTTAAAAAATGCTTATAACATTCAATTTTTATTGTAGCTATGTAAGTATATTAAGATGACAGTGTTCAGAAATTATATTTTTAAAGTTCAAGTTGAACATTTCAATTATTATTATTTAATCTTTGCTTTAGGTTCAAGTATAATGCCAGCAGCTGGAACAATGTATCTAACAACTTCAACTGGATATCCCTATACTTATCATAATGGTGTTGCTTATTTTCATACTCCAGAGGTAACTTCTGTCCCACCACCTTGGCCTGTAAGTAATTTCATTTTAAAGGGGTTTTAATCTATTACTATAAATTTTTTTAAATTTTTGTTTTATTTCTAAAATATTTCATCCACAGACAAGTATGAATAATATATTACTCATGACCCCACCACCCAAATTTAACATTTAACACATTTAGCCGTCTTTACTTAAGTTCTTTTTAAAGGGGGAGAATAAAATCTGACAAACTCAGGTAAAGTCTTCTTACCTTATTTTCCTCCTCAGAAGTAAACAGAATATCTTTCCTGTCCATTTTATATGTTTTTACTACAAATGTATGTCTCCTTAAGTAATATGTAGTATCGCTTTGAGTGGTGTTAAACACTGTATAAATCATCCGGTTTTTCTATTTAACATTATGGTTTTGAGACGAAACCATGTTGACTCTTTTTTATATTAAATCATATTGATCCTTGGACATCTAGGTCACTTATTTTAATATTTTGAAATATTCCATTGTATGAGTGTACTACAATTTTTTATATTTCTTTATTAATAGACATTTTAATTTTTTTCTACAATCAAGTATGAGAATTGTGTGAGTTTTTCTAGGGCAGTGGTTTTTAAAGGTTTTGCTTCTATATCCTCTAAAAATTTTTCTGAGAAATTCTGAATATACTCACTCATTTTTAAGTTTATATATGAAGTTTATTATGTTTAAATCGTTCAGCCATATTGTATATTGTAGGTTTGCTTTAAATTTGTTTTTATCAAAACTTTGTACCTGTAGATTTAGCTTATTGTAATAATGGAAAGTGTCTACTCTATAACTCAGTTAACAAAATTAGTCAACTGAATGAAACTAGTCAGCTAAATAAAACTTTCTATTAGAAAATTCTGACTTTATGTTTAAACTCAAATAAATGAGTTCATATGTATCCCTGTGACCATCAGCTAACTTGTTTGTTCCCTGGATGAATTAAGGTACCCTTTAATATTTCTTATTCAAACTCTTTTGCTTTGCTTCTTCCTATTTCTTAGGGCACTTTGCCTTCTTTAATTGTGTTTTTGTTTGATGCCCTATTGGCGTTTACATTCCAGAACAAAGCATTATAGTAAGATCAAGAATGAGTGAGAAATTTTCCTTTCCGGGAAGGAAAAAGGAGATAGTGAAAAGAGAGTTTTGAAAAGAAAAATCTTTAGTACACAGACATGTTCACAGGCAAATCAAGTCAGGAAGGAGTACATATGAAGGTTAGGATCTAAAACTTAGTACTCTTAAAGTTATTCATGCCCATGTTTCACTGGAAAATTTTTGTATTCCCCTAATGTACCTTGGTCTAGCTTAGGATATATGCGTAGAATTAGAATTTCATATTCATAAAGTATGCACATCCTTCAATTAAATGTGGCCAAACAGCTTTCCAAAGTATACCAGTTTACACTCTAGCCAGCAGTTTATGAGCATTACAATTTCTCCATAATCTGCCAACCCTTAAAATTATAAGATTTTTATATTTTTGCCAATATTATCATGCAATGATATTTTGTTTTACTTTTCATTTTCCTAATTACTGGTAAAATTGGACATATTTTCATATATTCATTTGCCATTCCACTTTCTTCTATGAACTGCCAGTTATATCCTTTGTCCATTTTTCTATTGAGGCAATTTGTCTTTTTCTTGAGTTCATTATATAAATTTTGTGGGTTGTAAATATCTTCTAGTTCATGGCTTGTCATTAATGTTGCTTATGGTTTTTTTCTCATAAAATATTTTTGTTGCTGTTATTTGTTTCAACGTTGTATTAGTCCGTTTTTGTTGCTTATTACAAAGTACACTGAACTGGGTGATTTATAAAGAAAATGAAATTTATTGCTTACAGTTTCTGAGGCTGAAAAGTCTGAAGTCCATCTGGGGGTGGCGACAGTGACCCAGGGGTCTCACATTGCAAGATGGTGGAAGCAGAGAAAGCAAAGAGAGACAGACTCTCCTCTTCGTTTAAAGCCCTCAGAACCACGCCCTTGACCACCATTTTTAATCCATTCACTACTGCACGGTCCTACAATCCAATCACCTCTTTAAGGCACCACCTTTCATTTATCATAATAGGATTTCCCACCCTCTTAACAGTCCAGAGGGGGCTAAGTTTCTAATACATAAAACTTGGGGGATACAATTCAAGCTTAAGGGAGTTTTGGAGGGATATAATTCAATCCACTACAAACGTTTTTGCTTTACGGTTTCAACTTTTAGTGTCTTGTTTTAAAAAGAACACTTCTTTATTACAAAAATATATACTATATTTTATTTTTAAAATGCTCTAGTATTGATGCTTTTCACATCTAGATCTTAAATTTTAAGTTTATGTATTGACTAATCCATCCTTTTTCCTACTTTTTGAAATGAATCTTCTATCAAATACCAAATTTCCATATGTATGGGTCTCTTTCTGGGCTCTCTGTTCTGTTCCATTAAGTGTATTTGTTTGCCCTGCCCAATTCTGTTTTCATTACTGTGGCTTTATAATGAGCCTCAAAATCTAAGACAAATCCTTTTACTTTGTTCTCCTCCAGGCATCTCTAGTCTATTCTTAAGTCTTTGCTTTTATAAGTATAAATTTTATAATTTAGCTTGTTCAGCTCTGTGAAAAACCCTTGTTGGGTTTTTATTAGAATTGCATTAAATATGTAGATTAATTTGGGACATTTAGGTGTTTTATAATATTGAGTCTTCCCATCTGTGAACATGATACATCTCTCCATTTATTTAGGTCTTCTTTTATTTCCATCCATCAAAAAAAGTTTTCTTTCTCCATAAAAATGTTTGACTCATCTTTCCTTGAATTTTTAGTACCCTTTAGTTTTTGTTCCTTTTATGAATGCTATTTTTTTTAAATCACATTTCCTAATAGATTGTAGCAGGTGTATGGTAATACTTTTTATTTTTTAATGTTGATATTGTATCAGTAACCCTGCCAAATTCTCATTTAGACAATTATTTATGATTCTATATACTTCTATTTCTTTCTATTCTTTTGTTTCTTGGTTTTTTCCCCTTGAGTTACTGAACTGGTAGTGTCTCTGCTACAGAACTGATGTAGTGATAACATGACCTTGTTCTTGAAAAAGAGAACAAGTTAAGTGATTCAGCATTAAGCTTTACACACACACACACACACGCACACACACACACACACGCACGCACGCTTTGGAAGATACTCTTAACCTGAGTTTCTCAACCTCGGCACTATTGACATTTTGGGCCAGATGATTTCTGTGTTGTAGAAGGCTGTCCTGTGCACAGTAGGATGTTTAGAAGTCTCTTTAGCCTCCCCATAGTAGACAACCAAAAATGTCTCCCAGCATTGCCAGATATTCCCTGATTTGGGGGAGAAAATCACCCATGATTGAGAATTACTGCCCTAAATCAACTAAGGAACTTATTTTCTATTCTGTTTGCTAAGGGTTTTTATCATTAAAAGGTACCGAATTTTAACAAATGCTTTTTCTGTATCTACTGAGATATCATGTATTTTTCTCCTTTAATCTGTTAGTATATTAAATTACATGATTATTTTCTAATGTTAATCCTGTGGTACAATTTTATTAGCATATTATAGTCTGTGAATTGTACAAAACTATGATACTTTTCTTCAGCTTTGGAGGTGTGAACATTAAAACAGAGCCATATAAGTTAGATCAAATGTTAGAAATTAAATTTTAATTGCTATCATTAGAGCCTTTTTTACCTATCTTGCAATACTAATTGCCTGTTTTATTAATGATCTAGTTTTAAGTAATCTATTTTAGGGCTTACTCTATCATTTTTAATAATCAAGTGTTACTAGTACTTTCTTCAGACATAGATATATCACATGTAAGTTTATTGGGTGACAAATTCACTTAAATGTCAAATTACTAAAATAACAGAATTGACAAATACTTCAATAAATAATGCATTTGCTTTAATTAAATGTGTAGCAAGGGAATACAATGTCGATTATTTTTAAGTAATGAGAAATTGGTGGGAGAATCAGATATGGTTATTCATTTGGTTCTAAATGCTATTGTAACAATAACTATCTACTCCTGGTCTCCACAATGGAAATAGGCAGTGTCACCCTAAGTCCAGCTGCCATTTTCCTCTAAATATTCACTTAGAACTATATTTTCCTAATCTTTGAAGGTGATAAATTTCAGATTAAAAGCAACTTTTCTGGTGATTGTTTTAGCATTACTGTGGAAAAAAACCACATGGAAGCAGTAATACTGTGATGATTTTAATAAACAGGCTTAAGTAGAGTTGGAGATAATATCAGTAAGAGGTAGAAAATGACATTTCTAATCATAAACCGTAAGTTGACTGGGCTTAGGTAACAATTTGAGATAAATTTTATTATGAGCTATTTTAAAGAATTTTGCCTAAAATAATTTTTCTATATTTTTTTCCTCTTATAGTCACGTTCTATATCTAGTTCCCCTGTGATGGTAGCTCAGCCTGTTTATCAGCAACCTGCATATCACTACCAGGTAAACATTAAATTACAATTAAAATCCTCTGGTACTTTCAGTCCTTTTCAGGTAACTTTCACTTTTTTCTTTCTCATGCAAATATTCTACTAATTGAAAGTAGATCATTAAGCCTTGATAGCAGTTTCTTTTTTCTTTTTTTATGAAAGAACTAAACAATGCCATACAAGAAGATGAACTATTTGCTTCCTTTTACCAAATGTAATGAGTCTGTTTTGCTCCTTGACTAACATTTAATCTAAAAAGTCTTTAACAATAATTTCCAAAGTAAGATATAGTATTAGACCATAGGCTGATTTTTAATATTACTGTTAACATTTTGTCAGTTTCTTGTTTTTATATTTAATATAGTGCATATTAAAATAGTAATATATTGTGATTTAGTATATTTTGTGACAGCCTCTTTTAGTTAACCAGCCTCTTCTTTTTATTAATTCTAGCGGGAGATGGGGATAAGTGAACTATAATGCCAGACCATTGTGGTCTATAGCAGACTATGACTTGCAGACCAAATTCACCCAGAAGCCTGATTCTGTAAATAAAGCATTATTGGTACTCAGCCACATTTGTTTACATATTGTCTATGGCTGCTTTTGTGCTACAATGGAAAAGTTGAGTAGTTGCAACAGAGATCTTATGGCCTACAAAGCTTAAAATATTTACTCTCTTGCCCTTTACAGAAGAAATCTGACAACCTCTCACCTATAGCATTCACTCATAAAACCACATTTTTTCATAGCTCTGGAATAACAGAAGAGCTTTTTATTTCTGCCACTTTTTTTTCTTTTTGAACTTTTAAAATAGACCCATATGAAATGTTAAGTTAAGGTTACTGGAGTCCTTTTTACTATTAGACTTAGTTTGGGGGAAATGAGTTGTTTTTTATTCTATTACCATGCTAAATATAAAACTAAAGTGTTTATTTACTAAAAATGAAAGTAACTTAATAGCATTTATTTAAAATATGCATGTAGCATGACTTTTCCTGATCTGTCTCAGAATTTCAGCAGAGGCCCCAAAGACAGATCTTTAGGTACCATACCCTTTAATATGGCAGGCCAAAAAATTGTGAAACCAGTTTTGAGACCCTTAGCTCAGTGTCCACCTTTAACACTTATGAGGGAAGGGTGAGATTGATAAGGGAAATTGCTAAGAAGGCTTTCATTAACAGGAGAGTTGTTAGAGTGCTATGGCATTTCCCCACCTCCTCACCCAAGTGAAGAGGACTTCAAAGAATGACTAAGAGCTAATAATATCTGTCCCCTGGAATTTGGGGGATGTTGGTACTTGAACATGACCTCTCCTAAAATAAATTCAAATAAGAAAAAGCTGGTGGCAGAACTAGGAGAGAAGGCTGCAGTAGGTATTGAAATTCCACTAACAGCAAGCAAAGGAGCATGTTTCTCAAGAGCAAGATGGGAACCTCAGAAGAGACTCTTCCCAAAAATCTTTAAAGTGACCCCAGTAGAGAAAGAATCTGTGCAAAGTGAACTTCTACAATCAAGGGCTAAAACTGCAGTCAAAAGTCCCCAGCAGGAGGATTATCAAAGCATCTACTAAAGTACCCTAACTAGAGAGTTGGCATTTAGAATATGCCAAGCACAAAGAAGTGATATGTCTTTGTTTTTATCCAGGGAGGGACAATACAGTGCTTTTAAAGGGTCAGAGGTGAGAAAGAATAAAGATGCTTTCTGCTTGTGCCTTATTGGGTCCAGCTTCTCCTTCATTAATTGATTACATACAGCTGTAGCTCACTTGCCATATCAGATGTATTCTGGAAAATTTCTAATACAATTTAATTTTATACTTTGACTCTCGTTTTCTGCTTGACACGAATTATAAAATTGAAGTTGTGTTACCTAGATATACTCAGGAAAGATTTTGATGCCAATTTTTAACATCATACTATTTTGCAATATAAGAAATAATTTCACTTCACATTTTTCTTTTCAGTTACATATTCATTATCATTCTTCCCTTAAAATTGCCATTTTGATAACAATCTTCTTTTGCACTTTCCTTTTACAAACTATAAGATTGATGGTTTCATCACTTTTTGTTAGCCAAAACAGGTAATGCATGGTTTAATCAGTATTTACTTCCTTTATATTATCTCTCACTTCATAGGTAGATAGTGATTTCATTTATCTAACAAATCCATATATTAATCATTTTATGTCAAGTTTTTTTGTTAAAATGTTTTCTTAAAAGATTGTACATTATCCTGCCTTTTTGAATATAGTGTGCAGGACATAGGCTTCACATTATCTTGGTCATCATTATAATACAGTGATATCATTGCTTAGCAATTGAAGATGTCAGCAGTAAATTTACAGTGATTTGGTTTAGATGGTAGATTCGTGGGGTTATCTTATTTCTTTTTTCTGTTTTCTTGACTCTAATAGTAAAAAAATACTAAAATGAATAATAAGAATAAAACATTCATTGTTAAGAAATAATACTACTATCTCAAGGAACAAAAAGTCTATCTTTTATCTTGTCCTTACAATAAGTGCCTTAAATAAGTTGACTCTCTTTTTTTAAGTAATTTAGATACAATTAACATATCATACAATTTACCTATTAAAAGTGTAAAATCGATCCCTGGACCAGACAGCCACTCAAAAGGGGAAAAAACATGTGTTAAGATTGAAGGGCTGGCCAATTAGCTTACTTGGGAGAGCATGGTACTGAGAACAAGAAGGTCAAGGGTTCAGATCCCCACATCAGCAAGCTGCCAAAAAAAATTTTTAAACACAAAACTATGCTATCCACCCTAAGTGAATCATTGTGCAGTTTATGCACGTATTGAAATAATGCACTGTACCCCTCAAAAATGTACAATAAATGTTAAAATAAAAAAATTTTTTTAACTGTAAAATTGAATGGTTTTTACTAAATTCGGAGTTGTACAACATCCACACTTGTTGTCATCTACCTTTTTTATTGTAGTCATCCTAGTGGGTGTGAAGTGGTATCACACTGTGGTTTTGATTTGTATTTACCTGAAGGCTAATGTCGTTGGGCATATTTTCATGTGCCTACTGGCCATTTGTATGTTTTCCTTGGAGAAAAGTGTATTCATATCCTTTGCCCATTTTTAGGTTGGGTTACTTATCTTTTTATTATTGAGTTGTAAGAGTTCTTTATATATTCCTGATATAAGTTCCTTATCAGTAAATGATTTGTAAATAATTTCTCCCATCCTGTAAGTTGTATTTTAACATTCTTGGTGGTATCCTTTGCAGCACAAAAGTTCTGGAAAGGTTTTGATGAAGTCCAATTTATCTGTTTTTTCTTTTGTTGCTTTGTTGCTTATGCTTTTGGTGTCGTAATTATAAAAACATTGCCTAATTCAAGGTCACAAAGATTTACACCTGTGTTTTCTTCTAGAGTTTTAACTCTTCCATTTAGGTCTCTGATCCATTTTGAGTTCATTTTTTTATATAGTTTGAGTTGATTTTTGTATATGGTTTGAGGGTTCAACTTTATTCTTTTGCATGTAGATATCCAATTTTAACGCTTGATTATAATCTTGGGGTTTTTATTGGTTTTTGTTTTTAGGCCCCTGCACAATGTCTGCCAGGACAGTGGCAGTGGGGTGTTCCTCAGGTAAATATTAATTTTCAGTATCTAAATTTAAAACCCTTCTTTCATTCTATTCTTGTGAAGACTGCATGAATGCTAAAGTTAGGAGAACTAGATTTGAGACCACCTTCTTCTGTTTATTAGCTGTGATCCCTTTGGCAGTTCATATAATCATTATATTCTCAGTTTCCTCATTTGTAAAATGGACCTAATGATACTATACCTTTGTAAGTTTCCTTACATGATTTTTGTGATAAATGAGATCACGAAAGTGAAAGCATATTATGAATAAGTAAGTGCTGTATAAACATGAAAAATTACTTTTTTATTATTAGTAGTATTACTGGAAAATTTAGCATTTTTCTATTTTCACTCCAGATTTTGCTTCAGTCTGATTTATGCTCCTAAATAAGTATTCTGTCTTCCAACTTTTGATAACAAATAGTATACCACCAAAAAGATTGTTTAATGACATTTTCCCACTTATATGGGAAGTCACAAAACTAAGAGTAGACATGTAAGCTAATTAAAATACCATAAGTCATATGTTACAACCTTTAATGGTGATATTAATATATCTGCAGTTATTATCTACAATTATTATTAATATATCTGAATTTATTTATGAGATTCTGAGGCACTAAGAACTTTTAGTACTTACCAGTGATAGTTATTTAATGACATCTACATATGTAATTGGAATGTATAACAACCCACAATTCCTAGTCTGATACTTCCATGCTATCCCTGAAAAAGAATTTTAGGAAAATATGAAACAAATATTTCTCTCATCTATTGGGAAAGTCAATTCAGTTTAACAGAAATAACTAATCATATTTGAATTAGAAATATGGCTTTGTGTTTTAGCCTCCTGCCTCTTCTGCTCCATTCTTATATCTGCAACCTTCTGAGGTTATTTATCAACCAGTGGAAATTGCACAAGACGGTGGATGTGTTCCTCCTGCACTGTCTCTAATGGAAGCTTCATTTCCAGATGTATGTATTAGTCTTAAAATAATTGATCTATAACTACCTCATCTTAACATTTACTTCTTTTTCTTTTTTTTAAGTTGAAACTCATTGAAACTGCCTCATCTTATGTTTTCTTTTGATTTATTCACCTCTTCCCCTTTTTTTATATCTAAGAATGTTTCATCCTAGACTTCTTCATTAACCAGTTCTGAACCATTCCACAAATCAACTGTTCACTCCACTAGGCTAATCCCTGACTTGATCTTTTTGAAATAGTAAGATACCAAACACTTTGCCTTCTTCTTCTGCCTGTTGATTTGTATTATTGCTAACATTCTGTCAATTAAAAGCATATAATAATTAAGCTAAAGGAGGAAAACTCTAAAAACAATTCTTCCTTCAAAAGTGTAAATCAAATTCATTTTCTAACTACAATTATAAATATTATCTTCAGTGTCTTTAAATTATATTCCTGATCCATTACTAATAGCTTCATCATCTGTTTGCCAAGAACTGTGCATGCTGTTTTTAAAAGTGTTGTGAAAGATTAGAAAATTAGCACCCACCTCCAAATTTGAATGCATTGTTTTATTATTTTCATATTGCTAAGGTTTATAACATTATAATTTTATTCTGGAACAATAACTTCCACAGTTGGATCTTAATGTTTACTATCTGTACTTTTACTAGAATTTCTCCACTCTTCCTTTCAACACCCCTGCCATTTATTTATTTTTGTGGGGTTTTTTTTCTTTTTTTCCCCAGATTTGCTGAGATATAAATAAATAAAATAAAAATTATATATATTTATGGTATATGATTTGATGTTTGATATATGTATACATTGTGAAATGATTATCATAATCAAGCCAATCCATCACCATACATAATTATCCTGTTTTTGCTTGTGGTTAAAATATTTAAGATCTACTATCTTAGCAATTTTCAAGTATATACTACGTTATTATTAATTATAGTCACCGTTGCTGTGCAGTAGATCTCCAGAACATATTAATCATGTCTAACTGAAATTCTGTACCCTTTGACTACCATATCCCCACCTCCACCATCCCTCTCCCCATCTCCTGGCAACCACCATTCCAATCTCTGCTTCTGAGTTTGACTTTTTCAGATTCCACATATAAGTGAGATCATGCAGTGTTTGTCTTTCTGTTCCTGACTTATTTCACTTAGCATAATGTCCTCCAGGTTCACCGATGTTGTCACAAATTACAGGATTTCCTTCTTTTTAGAGGCTGATAGTATTCATTGTGTATGTATACCACATTTTCTTTATCTGTTCATTCGTTGACGGACACTTAGGTAGATTCCATATCTTGGCTATTGTGAATAATTCTGCAATGAATATGGGATTGCAGATATCTCTTTGATGTACTCATTTCATTTCCTTTGGATATATACCCATTAGTGGGATTGCTGAATTATATGGTAGCATTTTTAGTTTTTTGAGAAACCTTCATACTGTTTTCCATAGTGGGTATACTGATTTATATTCTCACCAACAGTGTACAAGGGTTCCCTTTTTTCCTCATCCCTCACTGGAGATCATTTTGGTTTCTAGTAAAGTTCCTTTTTATTACAGATTTTCTGTATGGGGATGTAGTAATTACAACTTTCTTTCCCACCTTCACCTTCCTTCACCTTCAGCAGTGTTCTTCAGCTAGAAGGCTATATAGCAGACAGCAAAAATGGTGTTAACATGATTTCTCCTTCAATCCTACCTTCCCTGCTATTAAGCAGAGTAAAATTGGAGATTTTCTCTGCTTCTACATTGGCCTGACTATACCCCTACAATCAGGACTCTAAAGAATGTTTGAATAGGTCTTTTAGAACCTTGACCTCCAGGGAAATCTTTATTCTTCTTGATGTCTGAGGAGGCTTCAGAATCTTCCCTCATGTTGGTCCAATTTGCACAGCACTTCATTGACATTCTACATTGTTTGTGATTTGGGAATCATGGGCATTTTCTTATGTAATTGAGATGGCATTTTAAAAATCTCTTTTGTTTTTTATTGTCATTGTTTTCTGGTATGCAAGAGGTGGAGTGAGGTAAGAATGTTTTTAAATTAGATTTTTAGCCAGAATCTACTTTTGGCATTAAACCCTATTCTTAATTCCTGATATCAGATACTTATCATCAGGGTATATTCACTGTTTAGTGGAATGTTAGAAGATTTTTCTGAAAATATTGCTCATTATTATCATATCGCTTGTACTTTATATGGTATTTCCATACAAAATGATATTTGCATACTTTTATTTTAATATTGTTTCTGGTAGAAGGTATAGTCTGAATAATACATAATTTAATGAATAGAGTGGGTGATTTATAATTTAAGTGGTATTTTTCTCTAAAATTAAAAACTGTAGGGCTTTTCTTATGAGTGTTGTAGTCAGGTTTTCTATAGATAATATAAGTTAGCATCATCACTCACTTATTTCAGTGGTTGTTTAAACCTTTGCCAAGCCCTCAATGACTTCCTAATTGCCAGATACTTTCCTTCCTTTTAATCTTACTTGACCTCTCAGAGACACTGTACATATATATACAAAGGAGTTTCCAAAGGTAGGAGGAAGCTCTTCCTACCTTTAGTTTTTATGATACTTCTCTGTTCTGGCAATCCTTTTACCTCCTTTTACTTTCCTTTGTAAGCTTATCTTTTGCACCCCATGATTTCATATTTGGATCTCCATTCTTTCACCCTATATACTCACTCTGGTATTATCATTCATACCCATGTCTATAGCCCCAACCTTACTCCTGAGCTTTAGTCTCCACCATCCAACCTGATAGCCACTAGCCACATGTGGCGAGTGAGCACTTGAATAAGCACTTGAAATGTAGCAAAATCAAATTGAAATGTGCTGTAAGTGTAAATTACATACCAGGTTTTAAAGATATATATGAAAAAAGAATGTAAAACATCTCAATAATTTCATACTGATTATGCTTTGATATATTTTTAATATATTGGCTTAAATAAATATATTATTAAAAAATAACTTCACCTCTTTTTACTTTTGTAACATGGCTATTGGAAAATCTTAAATAACATATGTAATTCACATAATATTTCTATTGGACCCTCTAGAATTCAAGTAACTCTACTTAAATTCCTACAAATACCACAAAATATATGTCACAAACCTCACTCCTTTTCTCCAACCCCCTCACACACAATTACATATACATCAGGCTTTCCTTGTATTCCATATCTCAATGCATGGTACCACCCTCTGTTGGACAGCCATGCTTTTTTACATGATCTGTCCCCGGCCTGTTACTCTACTACTTCATCTTTCAGCCGTCCCTTACTATGTAATCTTCCTTCCATCCATACCAAACAACCTGGACAGATTGCCCAAATGAGATGTGTTCTTATTTGCCTCTATGCCTTTGCTCATATTACTCCCTCATTCTTTCCCTAATGCTTCAAACTTAAGCATCAACTCCATGAGAAAATTTTCCCCAATCACCATACCCAGCTTTCTTAAGCTAAATCAAGTAGTTATCTTTTTATCCTATACACGTCTTTTTATTTCTATACACGTCTCATAGAACTTATGGTAATTTTGACTACTATTTTCCCTGCTCAGACTATAAGTTAATTAAACATAAGAAATGTGTTTTTTATCTGTATTTCTCGATTGTGTAGCAGAATGCTTAACACATTGTAAATGCTGAATAAATATTTTGAATTAGTGAATGAAATGCAGTACATCTCTTCTGTCTCTTTTTTGTAATAGCCTTATTCTGATCATGGAGTTCAAGCAACATATCACCAGGTTTATGCTCCAAGTGCCATTGCTATGCCTGCACCTGTGATGCAGCCTGAACCAATTAAAGTAAGTAGTTTGTTTTGACTGGTTTTTTTTGTTTTTCTTCAGTTATATTTCAAGTTTCCCAAATTTCTCTTCCAGAAGGGAAGAACTTTGGATATTTATATTCCATTTGTGATCAGGAGTACAGAATTAGTGAACTCTTTCATGTAAAGGGAATGCAATTCTAAATTAACTATAATTCCATTTAATTTGTTTTGATGAAGCTATAAACTATACATGGTCAAAATTTTTTTATTATGGTAAAATACATATATCTTGAAATTTACCGTTTTAACTATTTTTAAGTGTACAATTCAATGGCATTAATTACATTCACAATGCTGTGCAACCATCACCACTATTTCCAAACATTTTTATCACTCCAAATAGAAACTCTATACCCATTAAGTAATAACTCCTCTTTTTCCCTACTCCACTCCCCACCCCCAGTCCTTGATAAGCTCTAATCCTTCTGTCTCTATGAGTGTGCCTATTCTATATATTTTATATACTCAGATTTTGATTGTCTATGTCATGTAACATTGATGGGGAGATGAAAACAGTTAATGACTTCTTTTTGCAGTTTGGGAATAATGTTCATGCTTTCTAAATTAATGCAGAACAAAGAATGATCATCTACTTAGATCCTTGTATATATTCAATATATGTTGACTATCTACTATGCAGCAGGCAATTCTTCCTATTCCTTTCTGACCAAGTTTCTTAATGAAACTCTTTCATCATCTCTTTAGGGACTTTATCTCCAATAAAGAACCACAGATTGATTAACTGTTGAGATGGTAATAGGAATATTGTATGCAGTTAATTTGGTGACGAAAGTAAACATACTCTTTGCAATAAAATTATGGAGATTAGCTATTTCACACTCATATGAATGCTTCCAACCCATCCTATGTGTTGAACTCAGTACCAAGACAGTCTACTTTAAACAGCCTGCCTACTCTCCTGTCCCCGAACCCCATCATCACTCCCTGCCATTACTACTCACTGCATCCCTTCACTGCACCCCTCTACCACTGTACTGCAAACATGAAATAAAACCAAAATTTTGACCTAGTGTCAAAACCCAGAGTATTACTAAACCTTTTTTATAGAAACTTCATTTTTAGTATTGTTAGAAAATCTTCTGATGTTAACATTTTCTCCAAATATACTTCTCTAGAAATAGCTAATATTGCTATGCTGTTTAGATAAGTGCTAATTATTTTCAGTTACTGAGATAGATAGATAGATCTACAGATATAGATATGTATAACAAATGATTGAGGTTATACTGCTTGAATAATTCAAACACAGGATGGAGCAGTGACTGGTACTAGGAGAAATTTCCAAAGATGCAAATGTTAACATTCTTAAAGTTTAATTCCTCTAGATTAAGAGTTTATACTTCTCTAAATTTTTTTAGATCTGTAAGTAGTTAGCAGTAGAAATTGTACAGAGAAACTGATATCCTACTCCTTAATTTAGTCATATAAAATTACCAATTCCCTTTTTGTTAGAGATGAAAAAAAGAAAATTTAATAAATTTTCAAAGTGAAAACATTGAAACACAGGAACACAGGGCTATTATATACAGTTTTGTATTTCTTGCTTTTATTTTTTTTAGGTTGACTGTTCTAAGTCTTTAGGAGATTTAGTGGCTGGCCCTCAATAGAAAATGATGCTTCTCTCAGGGATAGAAACTCCAAAAACCACTTCTGTAGTTTTCTAGAACTATACAACCCTATAAAAATGTTTTACTACACAAGTTTTTCTGTATAGCAAATTATCCACTTTTGTTTATAGTACATTTGTATTATAACATGGAAATCTTAATATATAATTGTTATAGCATTAGGAAACAATCTTTTTCTAAAACATATTAAAGTAAACTAATATTAAAATATTAATGAATGACATTTGAAACACTATCCTTTTTACTTCCTATGCAAATTTTCTCTGGTACCAAAAACCTTGATGACTTTTAAAATAGAAAGGTGGAAATATTCTTTGGAAGAATTTGAGCCTATCGTTTTTATAAGGGTTAAGTCATTTTTAAAACTCTAATGATTATAATTTTATGAATGTTAATTGGGTATATCCCAATGTATGAATTTCAGATGCCAAAACTATCTTGAAATAACAAATCTAATCAATAAAACAGAGACCTTATGCAGAGCTCAGAGCACAAGTCTAACTGCTGAAAAGTGTTGTTTGCCAAAAACTATTTTAGCCAATTTGACAGGCTACACACACTTTCAAATCAAATACAAAAACACATACAAAGTAGACTAATATAGAGGCTACTAGATTAATATGGTATTGATTAGAGCTATCATTCCCTAATTCAGCAGTCACATTAGGTTTTAATGTCAATAAAGCAAAACCATACAATGTCAAAATTACCCCACTGAACTAGACTATAGGAAGAAACAAAAGGAAAATCTTCACATAAAAGGGCATATGAACTATTATACTTTTAAGATAAATATCAAATCCCAAGGTATGAATGATATGAGTGGAGAATTCTAAAGTGTCTTCTGTTTTCTTACAGTGTTTTTCCATTTTTGCATTAATATGTGTCTAATAAAATTGTTCTTACAAGGATTGAGACACTAGAAACTGAGGATATTATAATTTGAGTTTGCCCTTAAGTTAAATATGTATTTTATTAAACCCCAATGTGTACTAGCTATCAATGAAAACATATGGATATTAAGGATATTTAACCACTTGCCAGGCTATGAGGAATTTCTTCTAATTAAAACACTGATTAGATTTGAATAAAAAACACCTACTAGTGGCCTGTACACACCTCACCCTTCGAAAAGACAGTATAATTCCCAAGTAAATTGGAAAGGGATCTAACTACCACCACTGTCTATTTCTAACTCTGAGACACAGAACATGCACTCACCTAAAAATTAGCAACTATCTCTACTTTACAAAAAGATTCCACTACCACTGTCTTCTTTCTAATTACTTCATAACTTCAGTATCATTAGTACTTCTTATAAATCAACTTAGAGACTAAAATTCCCTTGCATTCAGCAGTACCTGAGGGTTGAGGAGGAGAAGTATAAATCACTGTATTCTAGAGGGCACAGACAGGAAAAGCCTGTGCTTTGCAGCTCCAAGGCTACCAGGAGGATATAAATTTTCATGTGCTGTACATGGTCAAACAGTAATCTCAGATTCTCTAGATAATTTGTAAACACTCATGGAGAACTAGGCAGCAGGAGCAAAAAAACTCACCCAGTTTTGCACTAGAAATTGCATAGGTTCTGTGTGTATCAAAGCCTCCTTCTTGATGTAGATCTAAGAGAGGGGACAGAAGACAGTAAAGAGAATCAAGGGCTTATGAAACCAGTCTATTGGAATTATCAAGGATAGATCCCTATTCAAGGATGAGTAAACAGAAAAATATATACTATATGGGTTCTGTGAAAAAATTTTTGCATATGGCACTATATTGAAGGCAAGGATTAATAGCATATATATGTATATATATAAGAACATTTGTATAAAAGGAAATTAAATAAATTTTTAAAAATATATCCCATGTGCTCAGTAATATATCTTTTAAAACCAATTGCAAACTGAAAACAGGAGAAATAAAATGATTGCTGGCTAGTGTAAGAAAACACTGCACAAAAATAATCGATACTATGAAAAGAATTAAATTTGTCTTTGCCATAAAGGGCCAGTAGTCATTACAGAAAATCAAATACTTAATATGGAAAGGACTTTTTAAATTCTTTTAGAATACAAAAGAAGATAACATGAAAGATGAAATCATGAAAGATAATATGCTAGAATAAAGAGGGCAGAGGGACAAATCCAAAAAATAGTAATTATCAAAAAAAGACTACAAATAGAACAGAAAGAATGTGCAGAAATTTGAAGAGTAAAACAAAAAACATCCTGACCTGAATTTACACGTCGAAAAAGGATTAACCATGCTTCAAGCAAAATTAATGCGAGGCGAGACATAATGCACGCATAGACACCCTGGCAATTATCTTCCCCTACCCCCAACCTCTCACCCCCCCAAACATCCTGGGTTTAAAACTTTCTTAACCTTTTATTTTTTTTATCAATATACACTGTAGTTGATTTTCATGTCTCTTTACTGATTCCTCCCTCCCCCACATCAACATCATATCTATTCACGTCTCTTAACAAGTTCAAGGAATTGTGATTGTTGTGTCTTCTTCCCCGCTCCCCCCTCCATGATTGATTGTGTATTTATTTACTTATTTTTAGCTCCCACAAATAAGTGAGAACATGTGGTATTTCTCTTTCTGTGCCTGACTTATTTCACTTAATATAATTTTTTCTAAGTCCATCCATGTTGTTGCGAATGGTAGTATTTTGTTCTTTTTTAAATAAGTTTAGATTTACAGAAAAGTTGCAAAAAATAATACAGAGAGTTCATATATCCCTTCACCCAACTTCTAATTTAACAACTTATATAATCATAGAACAGTTAGCAAAGCCAAGAAATTAGCATTGGTACATATTGTTAACTAAGCCACAGACCCCATTCATACTTCAACAGTTTTTCCACTAATGTTTTTTTTTTTTTCTGTTCTAGGATGTAATCCAAGATCTTAATTGCATTTATTTGTCGTGTCTCCTTATTCTCCACCTATCTGTGACATTTACACAGTCTTTTCTTGTCTTTTATGACCTTGATACTTTTAAAGAGTACTGGTTAGTTATTTTGTAGAATTTCTCTCAATTTTGGTTTATCTGATATTTTCTGTTGATTAGATGGAAGTTATGTATTTGAGGCAAGAATATCACAGAAGTGATGTGCCCTTGTCAGTGTATCATACCAGGGTATGTGAGATGCCAGTATGTCTAATTACTGGTGATAAGGTTAACATCATTAAAATTTTATTAAGCATAAAAAATAACTTGCCTGCAGTAGCATAGCTCAGTAAGTGGAAGACCCAGGACTAAAACCCATGCATGTTCTCAACCACAGAGAAAAATGTTAGCTAGCTCTCTGAAATCGT